TTAACCACTGGTTGTGGCTTGGGAGCAGGGGCTTCCTTCTCCACCCGCACTTCTGCATCGTCGGCTGGAAGTGCTGAAGTAGGCAGTGGTTCCTCCTGTCTGGCCGGGACAGGATCAGCCGATATTGTCTTACCGCTCCTGGTAAAAATGGCATCCAGCTGCTGATGCTGGTGAGGATCTCGAGGATTCGGGACAGTGGTGGCAGGCAAAGTCCCCGGTGCCCTGGTGGTGTTCTGGCGGGCCAAGATGCCCACTTGGGTCTATAGATCCTACAAAATGGCACCCTGGTTCCTCTGAACTACCTCCAGCGAGGCTACACTCTGGTCCAACCTCGTGATAGTCGCCTGAGTGCTCGTCATGAATGAAGCTAGAATGTTTTCCAGCTTCGTCATCCTGTCATCTAGGGCGGGAGCTGCTGCTGGCTCGGCAAACTGGCGCTGGGGCTGCTGGAATGACTGCCCCTGCCTAGGCTGGTAGGGATGTCTCTGCTGAAAACCACCTGCTAGTGCTGGGAAACCACCTGCTGGTGCTGGGAAACCAGGTGGTTTAGTGGTGTTGCTGCTCCAGGCGAAGTTGGGATGCTGGTGCCACCCCTCATTATATGTGTTACTGTATGGATCGAGGCGCCGCGCATTGGCGATGAAGGCCAACTGCTCCTGGGGTGTGGTAGACTCCCTCATAGCCTAGCAGTCCTCCACTAGGTGATTGGAGCTCTCACACCACTGACACTGAGCAACTGGAGGTGTAGCCAAACCTCTGCCCGGAATAAGACTGTTGGGCTGCTTCAATGTCTGCACTAGCTCAGCTACCTGCTGCTCGAGCCCGGATCTGGTCTCCATGGCGTGCACACCACGGTCCCGGGACTGTCTGCCTCGGCTACCCTGTCCCCAAGAATGATCTCTGGCAGCCAAAGTACTGATCATCTGGTTCAGCTCGGGTGGAGTCTTAGTAAGAATATCCCCTCCTGGGCATAGAGACTCAATCACCCTCTGGCTATCTGGAGAGAGGGCACTGTAGAAATTCCCCACTGTGAATGCATCAGTGAAGCCATGATGGGGGCACTGCCAGAAATATCCCATGTACCGTTCCCATGCATCACGAAGTGACTCATCTGGCTCTTGGCGGAAGTGAGTGATCTCCCGCTGAATCTCTGTAGTCTTCGATGCCGGATAATACCTGTGCACGGACTTATCAGCCAGATCGTCCCAAGAGGTGATGGACAATGGGGGCTGGGTCTCCAACCACCTCTTAGCATTCCCCGCCAGAGAATGGGGAAAGAGATGAAGGCGGATTGCATCATCCGGGACACCATTCAGCTTGAACCCGTTCGTCAGCTGCAGAAAACGGGAAAGATGCACCCTGGCCTCCTCATTCTTCAAGCCATGGAACTGGATGGAAGATGTAATGAGCTGAATCCAGCATGGCTTGATCTCGAAGTTGTTTGCTGGGATAGGCGGGTAGAGGATGACCGGGCGGATGTCAGCAATCCGCGGAGTGTAGTAGTACTCCAAGGTGGGACCCGGCTGCGGTGGATGATGAACTCCATGATCCTGGGTATGGGGTTGTTCCCCAGGACCTGATTCACCGGGGGAGCCTGCTGAGGAATCCCCTGGTGTTGATTGTAGTCTCCGTCCATCCTGTACTCTTCTTCAGAATCGCTACTCAGGTGGCCGTCTATGCGCTCTTCCGTAGCCAGTCTAGCTCGCTGTTGTCTCCTGAGCTGGCGACAGGTGCGGTCAATCTCTGGATTCAACGGCAGTAAACCTCCCGACTAGCTACGGGTCATGCACTACCTGCACACACTCAAGCAGCAAACCCGTGAAGGCACAAGTGGGACAAAGCAAACAAAGCAAAAAGAAAAGCTAAATTAACAGAAATCACTTTTCTTCAACAACCTAGCCGTCCCCGGCAACGGCGCAAAAAACTTGACTCGACTCTACTGTCACCCTAGGAATTGGCCAAGTGTAACCACTTCCTAAAGCGTAGTATAGCGGGTTTAGGTTTAATTATCAACCTGGGTCCTAGATGTGATGACTACTCAGTGAATTCTTGTTATCTAGCAATGAAACTGGAATGCAAGTCTAAACTAACAAACTAACAAAGCAAGTAAACTGTTGTATTCAGGTTAAGAGAGGTCACCCGGATATGGTTCCCCCTAGACTGCAGTTAAGCCGGATTGTAATTACCAAGTTCAGTTTCTATGATAGTTATACTGCGGAAGGTTCTCAAACAGCCTGAAGTCTCGACTAAAGGTCTTCAGACCCTCCCAATCTGAGTCTCTAGCGGGCGACTAACCTCCACCGGAGTAAACAGATTGAGGCCCTAAGAACAAAACCTCCACTACCGGAGTAAATCCGGTACAGAATAGTGAGTTGGCTCCTCGACTAAAGTCACCAACTCCCTACCTTCAATCAAGGATACTCTATTAACCTAGTCAGATATTCTCAATCTAGGTTAAAGCAGAAACAATAGGAATTTGATCAGGATTCAAGTCATTCAATCAAACAAACCTCAATCGAATATAATCAATCATAGAATCATTACTTGGGTTCATACAATCAAAGCCTAACATACAAATCTAGGGTTCTCCATACCCAGATGAATGGGAGAACTACTCCATAGAGAAGAAAGCAAAAGCAGAATCAGACGCGGAATTCATACTGTGAAGGATGGATTCCTGCTTCTGGACGTTGATCGGCACTTCTCCAAGCTCAAACTGGCCTCCAATGGTGTTGAAGATCAATGGTGTTGTAATCAGCTCAACTCTCGGTATAAAAAGCACGGCCACAGAACACGGCCGTGTACTGTTTTAGGTGTGCCCGTGTTTTGGCTCCGGCTTGACGAAATGACCTCCGAATGCCCCGAAACTCGCGCTTAGCCTTCCCTTTGACACCTGGGACCTGAAACATGACAAAATAGCACAACCCGGCGTAAAATAGGCCAAAATACACGACTATGCCCCTCAAACGGATAAGAACTAAGGGCGCAAATATGTGCAATTACATCGTTATCAAGGCTTCAACACAAACTTCTTCCCACCATGTTCTAGCTCGTACTTGTTAGTGACTCTGTCGTGATGTGCCTTTCGATCAAATTGCCACGGCCTTCCAAATAATACATGCGCGGCTTGCATAGGCACAACATCGCATAAGACTTCATCCTTGTACCTTCCAATTGAAAACTTCAAGATAGCTTGTTTTGTCACTTAGATGGCGCCATGGTCATTGAGTCATTGAAGTGTATATGGCTTGGGATGCTTCAAAGTATTTAATCCCAACTTCTTAACCGAATAGACACTAATGACATTAGTGCAACTCCCGATTACCTACGAGAGTAGTTTTCCATCCACTGTGCACATTGTATGAAATAAGTTCTCCCATTGGTCAAGCTCCTCCTTGGGCTGCATGCTTAGAAGCCTTCTAGCTACGAAATGTTCTCCTGGTGGCGCCTCCATTTCTATCTTCTCATCCACTTCAGGATCCGAATCAGCTTCCTATTCATCCTTAGACTCCGATACATACTCTCCATTATCCAACAAGACGAGATCTCTTTTGTTTGGACATTGGTTGGCCATATGCCCTCTTCCATGGCATTTAAAACATTGAATTCCACCACTAGAGCTTGCGGGTTTCTCTCTTGGTGCTTCAATCTTGGCTGCCGATTTTGGTGCTTCTGGCTTTGTTATGGCTAACCTAGGGTTTGAAGCCGAAGGCGCTCCTGGCCTTGGTGCATTTTGAGGTTTCACGAATCTCCTCCCAATGTTGTTACACTGTTGTTTCTCCACTTTGGCCGCCATTGCAACCAAGTCATACAAATCCACGTAGGGATGAATGTCCACCACGTTCCTGATTTCTCGATTGAGACCATATAGGAATCGTGCTATAGTGGCGTCACGATCCTCCTCTAGATCCTCTCTAATCATAAGCATCTCCATCTCTCTGTAATACTCTTCCACGCTCTTGGTGCCTTGTCGTAGAAGTTGTAGGGCTTGATGCATCTCCCTACGATGAGAACTAGTAACAAAATGATCTGGCATGACGGTTCTCATCTCTGCCCACGTCTCAATAGGAGGCTGCCTATTCTTCCTCCTCTTCATGCGGACTTGATCCCACCATACGATCGCATAGTCCGTAAACTCGAGGGCTGCCCCTTGCACTTTCTTCCTTTCTGAGTAGTTGTTGTAGTCGAAGATCAATTCCATCTTCCGTTCCCAATCTAGGTAAGCCTCGGGATTAGTAGAACCTCGAAACGATGGAATGTTGACCTTGATGTTCTTCAAATTATCATCTTCATCTCGAGGGTCAACCTCTTCATCCTCATACTCGACCTCCTCATCAATTACTTGATGTTGGCCTCGTCTTGCATGATGTCCTCCCAAAGGGCGATGTCGTCGAACATGCTCATACTCGATAGGTTCAACATCAAGTACTGGCCCAAGTTGGAAAATTATGAAAAGGGCAATGAGTCACTCAAACCTTTTCGATGCTACCGAGCTAGATGAGAATACCTTTTGTTTTCAAGAGTACATATAAGAACTATAGTAATCTATTCAAGACAAGGTAAGGGCACGCCATTGAAGTTCATATAGCAAGAGTGAAATCTTGACCCAAAGAAGCACGAGAATGAGGAGTATGGAAGGATGGCACGATCAAATTTCGGGGACGAAATTTTTATAAGGGGGGAGGAAATGTTACACCCCGCTCTTCCCAAAAGTCAAAATGACTATTATACCCCTGGGTCAAGTTCCGCTGTATCATTGATGAGGATGAAAAATGATCGGTTCAAGCGGTGTCGAATTTCGACATAAATTGAGAAAGCTACGGACATTAATTGAGTTTCGGATTAAACTCATCCGCAAGTGTGAATTTGGCACAAATACCCTTGGACTAATTAAAACCCTAGAGCCCAGCCTTACCCTACTTGGCAGTACCCAAACAAAATAAACCCTCGCAGCCTTTTCTCCAGCGAGAGACTCTCGGGAAATTGCAGAATCAACCCCTCTACTGTGAGAGGTGCTTGCTTAACCAAGCTCGTCTTATCGTTGATATGAAAGAGTTGGAAGAATCAACCGGTGTTACGAGAGCAGCTTGGTGGCGCGGTAAGGTGTGGAGGACGAGGCTTGTTGGCGCGGCAAGGCGTGTAGGACGAGGCTTCAATGGACGAGAGCGTGAGGGCAGTTCTCGAGTGGCGAGGGTAATTCTCCCCAAAGCAAAGTGGCGCATTATTTCTCTCCCTACTATGAGAGCTGTGTGGGAGTCGCCATCGCCTTGGTTCTCAAACGTTGCGGTGGGATCCGTCATCGGCAAAGACAGCGTCTCGGGGCAGAGCGGATTATTGGATGCCAACGAAGCGATGGCCAGACCTCTCGTGTAGTGGTCCATTCGTCCGACAGCACACCAAACACGTCCATCAAAGCTTAGCAGGTCCACCAATTGTTAAGAGAGGCCTGGAACTCAGGCAGCCCTCCCTACTACGAGAGCTGCTAGCTTAAGGAAGCTCGTCCGTTGAGCAAGCTCGTCTACCAAAACCACCAGCTCCTCCAATCGTTAAACAGCAGCTCCTCTAATTGTCGTCCATCGGTAAGCAAGCTGGTCCATTGTTATTGCCATCCCACCGAAGCAAGCTGGTCCATTGTTAAGCAAGCTGGTCCATTTTATTCAAGCAAGTAGGAGTGTACTATTATTTTGGAAGCGAGTATGAAATCATTGGAGCAAAATCAGAGCCAGTTCCGACAGAAGTAAGGTGAGTGTAAAGGGGGTAAATTCTACGACTTACGTACTTTTTTAAGTATTTTAGTGAATTAGTTATCGTTGCTTGGTTATGTGTATGATTGATTATTTGTGCTTTGCTTGAGTTATGGTTTGTGCTATTTGAGGTGATTTTGTTTGAGCTATGCTTGAAGTGAATGTTTATAAGTTACTTTAAAATTTTTACGAGTATAATTTATCGTTAAAGTTAAGAAACAAGTTCTTTTAATGAAGTAACTCACCTTCAAGAAGGTGAAGTCGTTTTAAGTGTTTTTAGTCACTAGCGCCAGTCCATTGCCATTTGAGATTTTCAGATAGAGCAGCAGTTATGCTCTTGAGATCTTTGAGACAGAGCAGCAGTTATGCTCTTGAGACTTTTAAGATGGGCAGCAGTTATGCCCTTGAGAATCGTGGTGAAGAGCCACCACGATAAGTTTAAGATGTTAGGGGGATGAATCGTTACGACTTCCCTAACTAAGTTTAAGTTTAAGGAAAGCCTGGATGGCTTCTCATACGTATGAGTTGGCAACCGGACTAGATAGTGAGGGATCCCAGTGACGGTCAAGTATTTAAGTCAAGCTTTGAGATTTAAGAATGGAGTAACAGTAACTCCCATACAGTTTTAAGAGTTAAGCTTTTCAATAGTGGAAGTACAAAACAACTTCCAAACGGTTAAGTAAAGTGCTCAAGTTTTATTAAGAGGTTAAATGTAAGGGCGTAGACTGACCCCATCTCACTCACCAGTTTGAAGAGCTAGAGGAGCTAAAGGAGCAGTTAGTGAGAAGCGAGTTCGAGGCCAGTCAGCTAGAGGAGAGCAGTGTAAGCGTCACGGAGGATGCTTAGTCAAGGGTTTCAGTAGCAATAACATTAGAGATTAGTAGTTATTTACATTTATGATTATGATTATGAGTATAGACTAGAGATTATTTTGAGATTTTTAGAATGGAGTTTGCCCACTTGTTAGGGCTTTGCTTTGAACTAAAAGTGTGTATTTTCAGTATTTTATTTATTAAAAATTTTTCCTGGTTGAAATTTAAGATTGAGTAATTTATTTACCAAGGGCAGTTTAGTAAAAGTAGTACCCATCCGGATTAGGGTGTTTCAGGACACCCCTGTATCTGAGGGTCACTCCTTATAATGGAAATCCCACGATTGGGAAGGGGATAGTTCCATCTAGCACGCTGAAAAGCACCCTTCACACTAGAACCTCCATCACTGTACGAGGTATTCTTCCATTTCCTCTTTTTTTTATCATACTTTTGGTTGGATTTTTCCCGAGCCTTGTGTTCATTCACTAAGATCTCAGCTCGTATCGCCGCTGCCTTCAGGTTACCATAACCATTAATGTCAGCACTAGTCACCGTTTCCCCGATATCTTCTCGAAGTCCCCCTTCAAATCGGATGCACTTGTCCTCTTCTGTTGGGACCAACTCCCTTGCGAATACCATCAAGCGATGAAAAATAGCTTCATACTCACTCACAATTTGTCCCTCCTTCTGCTTCAAAGTTAGAAATTCTACCTTCTTCTGCTCACGATAGACTGCAAGGATATACTGCGCTCGGAAATGGCGTAGAAACGCATCTCATGGACGCTCAATCATATTGTCTTCCACGCCTGGGATAGTAAGCCACCGGTTATAGGCGTCAGATTCCAATAGATAGACCACATAGTCGAACTTAACATCATCAGGTCATTGCAGCAACGCAAAAACCCTTTCTACTTTCTTCAGCCAATCTAGTGCAACATTTGGATCAATAGACCCCTTAAAAGCCTCAGCTCCCATTTTCAAAACCTCAGCATAATCCCTTTTATAAGTGACTCCACGAACCTGGGATTCGGCATGATTCCCAATATTCACCCAAATATCATTTTCGGCATTCGCCTCAGCATTATTCCCAACATGATTTCCCTGGGATCCTTGGGATGCACAAGGTGGTGGGTTGGCTGCTACCTCTCCTTCGTGAGTGAACTCCACATGAAATCAATGACAAACTTTGAATTAGGATCTGGATCCATACTTGACTCATATGCAATTTTATTTAAAAACATGAAAATCTCATCAAAATCATTTAAAACCAAGTAGTATCTCGTGGGATCATATCCTAGCTATGATACCACAAAATGTAACACCCAACACTCTAACACATAACATATACGTGAATCTGTCCAAACCATGCATAATTTATAAACTCTGAAAACATTCAAACTTGACAACCTTTATATTACAAAACTCGAACTTCAAAATACATTTAAAACATGCTTGACCTTGGAGAAGATTCACTTCTCCTCAAAGTAAAACTTGTACATAATGCTGGAGCTCGAGTCACCACCACCTCATCACGATATATATATACCAGAGTTTTGCTATTTAGACAATGGATTAACCGGAGTTTGGGGCATCATATTATACCCTAACCCCTAATGGGTGAACCCCAGTCCACAATTCCCTAACCCAAAGCATAATATTCATTTAATCTTGAAATGAAAATCAACAGTTCTGATTCGTAGAAATTATTGTTGATTTTCATTTCAAGATTAAACGAATCTCATGAATTGGGTTAGAAAACTAGGGACTGGGGTTTATCCATTAGTGATTAGGGTATAGTATCATTCCCAAAACTCTGGTTAATTCATTATCTAAATAGCAGAACTCAAACGAGCGTACGGTAGTCTAACGGACGCCCGAGCGTACGCTAGACTGATATATATATATACCTTCTATTGTACCTTGAGCAAAATCAAAGGTATGACATACCTTGAGTAAGAGAATGATATCTAGACATCGAATTGACCGAAGTTTGGTATCTGGTACTATTCCCAAATCCTTAAAGATTAAAATCTAGTTCTAAATTCTATAAATATCATACACTAAGATCAATCTAATTAGAAATAAAAATCGACGGTTATGATTCGTCAAAATATATGCAACAAATTGAATTGACAATCTTAAGGGTTAGGATCTATGATTTAGATTACTAAGGCCTAGGGTTCACTCACAAGGGTAAGGGTATAGTATCATGCCCAAAAATCTGGTTAATTCGAGATCTAGATAGTGTTTTCTTACTCAGGGTATGTCGTACACTAGATTTTACCCAAGGTACGATAGAAGCCACCATATATATATATATATGGCATAGGTTAGAATACGCCCGGGCGTATGCTATCCTTCCGTACGCCCCATTGATTTTTGCTATTTAGACAAAGAATTAATTGGACTTTGGGACATGATACTATACCCTAACCCCTAATGGGTGAATCCCAGTCCCCAATTCACTAACCCAAAGCATGGGATTCTTTTAATCTTAAAAATGAAAATAAACGATTCTGATTCGTCGAAATTTTCATTGATTTTCATTTTAAGATTAAACGAATCTCATGGTTTGGGTTAGAAAATTAGCGATTGGGGTTCACCCATAAGAGGTTAGGGTATAGTATCATTCCCCAAACTCCGGTTAGTTCATGATCTATAGACCAAAACTCAATGGGGCGTACGCTAGGTTAACGTACGCCCAGGCGTTCATATATATATTATTGAGCTTGTCGAGTCCCGAAGCTTCTACTTCTGCTGTCTAGTGTCTGAGGGGAAAAATGTTGACGGGAGTGAGACGTCACCTCAATGAGTAACCTCTAAACTAGAGTCATAATTAATATAAACATAATATTTTGAAATCACAATACCACCCTTAACATTACACCAGTCTACCACACCTCCCAAACGTACGATATCATTGTTCATAATAGCATCATTTATAAGGTATAACATCGACACGATCATCACATAAATCACCAAGCATGATGTAAGTTTACTGATGTCCTTAATCATAACATCAATCACAACACCACTTATCCTTTCTCCCCAAATACATGAGACACATACACACAACAAACAACACACATACACAATACATTAGGCAACAGTCAAGTCCCCTCTGGCTAGCCACGCACAACCTAGCTTCTTTCCCCACCGCATCCTTCTCCTCCACCTCCACCTCGATGCCTAGGCTCCTCCCCCACCGCAAGGCATCAGTGAGAATCTCCCATGGCCCGAGCAATCGGCTTTAAACAGATCATACACTCAAGTCCATACTGAGGACTTATCACATCATCAAGTTCTACTCCATGTGCATGACTTTCCGTGGGGGATTAAGTACTCACAAGTTATGAAAGAACACATTTTACTTCACAACATTTTATCATCATCTTCATCAATATTATAACCATCAAGTCATCACCATCATACTCGTACTCATCAACATCTTCTCATATCATTGACATCATCCCCATCATCTTATTCATCATCATCAAGACACTCACGGTGATTATCATCAACCACCATTCAATGAATCATTCACACACATACACACACTCACATATACCATAACCTTAATCAATCATATGCATCAATTTACCATTTCTAAATCAGTTCCTTTTGTATTTGGGCCGCTTCATGACCCAAATATCATGCTTACATTAATAAGGCTACTAGTTTAGAGTTTACTCACAATTCTATAGTTAATCTGCAAGTCCTTTTCCTTTGGATGCCTCCCTGGATTCCTCACTCCCTTTAATCAACCAAACAACACACATTTAATCATCTAAAGTGAGCATGTAATCATATAATTGCATATAGGGG